ATATTAAACAAACTTTCTTTTATTTTCGAAGCCCCTAAACAGAATGTTTTGTCAAAACTAAAACTCTGTTCTCCTCTAAGAATATTGCATTCCTTTTCACCTCTTAGACTGCAGGACCCCCTCCCCAGTGGAGGCTGCCTGACCCCTCGACCTCAGACAACACAGGATTATATACATTAACCTTTCTTCTCTCTGCCTGTACAGTCTTCACTCAGGCACAAAGTTTTCTTCTTTAACTCAAATGTCACTACTATCCTGAGTGATTTTTGTGTTCATATGTATCTAAACTCAAGATTCCTCAGATTTGGAGATCTTCCCTTCTGCTTTACCTCCCTTTCCCAAGGACAGACAACACAGAACCACTTCATGTCAGAAATCTATAAACCCAATGTTCTGTTCTCTGACAACAAATTCACCTCCTTCAGGCTCTTTCACAATCTCACTCTTTCCAACACTTTCTCTTCAGCCCAATATAAACCTTTATTTCCCTGGTTTCCTCCAAGAATCTGCCCTCCTGCTTCCGTTCTGTCCCTGCTCAGTGGGGACTCACTGTCTCCTCAGCTCCCTGGCACCCCGTCCTCCTGTCATTCCTGCCCAACCAGACCCCAGCTCTGTATTAATGCACCTCTCTCCTGCACGTAGGCTGCTGAGCAAGGGGAAAATCATGACTCTAGGATCAGTTAGTACAAATCAGTGGTCTCCAGCTTTAAACTTGGGCTTTTTGGTCATCTTTCTTCCATTCCTTTTAAGGTCTTTTCAAAAGTACCACCTCTGTTCTAAGCCACCCAGGAAAATTATGTAATCAGGAGCAAAGATCTTCAACTCACTCTCACACACTTGCTCCAGAATTATCTTCACTCTGACCCGTACTCACCACCTTTCTGATTCAGAGAGGGCGAGAGGCCCTATCTCCCATGTCAGGGCTTAGACCATCCGTCAGACCGGCAACTAGGATGTCATTGTCTCACCTCCCTCTTGGACCTCAATCTATTTTATCTACCACCACCCACCACCAGAATTCATTCTGTTCATCTCCACTAGCATTTCCCAGAGCCCATAAAAAAGTTCACTTCTCTTTCAGCCTTAAAAAAAAAAAAAAGACACCAAAATAAAATCCCTCCCATAATTATCTAAAATACCTAGCTGTTGCCTTTTCTTGCTCATTCTATGAGCCAAACTCCTATATTCTTCATTAAATGCCTTTACTTCCAGTTTTCATTCCCTGTCAGCCTGTGTTAATTTGATTTGTGTGGAACACTGCTTACACTGAGACTGCCTGACTTTCTAATTGCCATATGCAAAGAAAACTTGTCAGCTTTTGTCTTTATTTGACCTTGTATGAATACCTACTCAGTCTTGAGGTTGGCAACGGTTGTCTTCTGTGGCTCTTCTCTCCTGCGTATCTGACCACCTCTGTGAATATGTCTTCTCAGTCTCCTTTGAAGGCTTGCTTTCTTGTAGACCCCCAAATATTATTTTTTCCTTCAGTTCTATCCATGGCCCTTCTTTTCTCACTCTACACTGTCTCTCTGAATCATCTCATCCACTCTTACAGTTTTAACAAAGTATAGGGTGAAATTTTTCCAATTTTTAGTTTGAATCCTCAGCTCAAGATTAGTGTACCCAAATTCTTGATGGACATTTTACTTGGATACACACCATAAGCG